AGATAAAAATGAAATTAATAAAGATTAACATTATTTTCTTCAGACTCTGAGACAAATTGGAAGTTTATTAGGAAGTTTCAACACTAGCTCTCAAAATGAGTGAAACAACATTCCTGAGTTTGTGACTGAACCTGAGTTAACTGACAATTTCCACACATCATCTTAAATAGAGATATACCAGACTTAGGTGCACGTATAAAACGGACAGAAAAAACGCCTTTCATAATACATTTTGCAATCTAAATAGATTGAAAGCCACAATCAAGCATTTCTGCTTAGGTTTTAGGAGGTACATGTTCAAATGTCAGCCCAGAGACATGTTACTCTGACAGAGGTTTTTGTTTTCCTCAGTATCTTTAGGTGAATGATGGGATACTACTCCATAAAACAGCTTATGACTGCTTCCATATCCTTTACAATTCATTCACAGTCATCTTACCATCTGATGCTACATAACCTATGCACCTGAAAAAGTATTCCTGCATAACTCCAGAATCAATCAAAGGATACAATTACAATTAACATTGTGATATGCAGTATGGACCAGTACAAAGAAGCCCAAACGATGACAGCACCTCTGTGTTTGCTTGTGTGTAGAATATGTCTTTTGATGAGTCACAGACAGCTGTTATAGTGTTAACACTAGAACTGGCAGCTAAGGTGTGCATCAATCACATGTACTGTGCCTCAGAAGGAAGTAAGGTTGCACTGAACTAAGATATCAATTCTAGTCAAAACATTATAGTATCTTGAGCCTGTTATGCATTCTTTCTTCTGTTGTGGCCATACTTGTACAAGGGACCTGAATTCTGTCAGATATTAATCAAAACCTGAAGTGAATTGCAAAATTACAAATAACCAGACATGAACCATTAAACCACTGCTCCCTCTTAACCTTTAGGAGTTAACGAAAGTTCATATATGTTGGTGCAACTGAGCTAGACAGAGAGGCTATAAATGATACTTCAAAATGCTACAATCCTAACATGCTGCAGCAAAACAGTCATTAATGAATAAACTACATAAATTATTTGCTGCCATTTGTTCCCAGGCAACTCATGATTCATACAATGCAATCTGTGTTGTTTGTAATTAAATGATTGGGTACACAAGATAAAATAAAACACACAAAACTTCCTCATGGAAGGAGTCCACTTAGAAGGCAAAGTCAGTGACATGAGGATAACATTAAAATGAATCTCCAAGAAGTAGGTTTTGATGTGGCAGTGTTCAATAAGGCTCAAGCAAGAATCCAGTAAATGCATGTGTACAAATACTTCCAACTAGTAGAGTCAATTTACTTGATTCATTATTCTGTAGGCAAAATTGTTTTATATTGTGAAACTGGAAAATTGATCAGATTTTCCAAATTGAACTGACAGCTGCATAATTCTAGTACCTGACTATAACAATGAAGACAGTACACAAAAGCAATAAAATTTTTTCTGTGTGCAATTCTCTAAGCTATTTGCCATAAAACATTTCTTTATATTTCATATAATACGTCACAACGCATAGCCATTTTTGACACTGAAGCCTCATCTATGAGTTGTCTGCATGTCTCTAACCCAATACCACAGTCAGAATTTCTTCAAACTGTAAATAAAATATCTCATTACATCATATTACATTCCTCAAATTTGTCACACCGCTCATGAAGATGGCAAATGACAGATTATAGATCACAAATACTATTCATACCTTGAATGCAATAAGAACAAGTAAAATATGCATGAAAAGAAAAAGATTAATCTATAATACCCTGACAGAAAGATTACCACTAACTGACTGTAATGAAGTAATGTTCATTCCGCTTGTTTGGAATTATTCCAAAGAATATATATGCATAGTACTTACATATACTGAACAATGCATTAGTTAAGTGCTCCTATATCTACTTCAATCCAGTTTCTCTTACTTACTTACTTACTTACACAGTTTATATGGGAAAGCACTATGATCGTGGAAAAATGTATCTATAGATTTTGACAGATTTACAGGTTTTCAGCCCCTGAATATGAATGTTGTTTTCGAAAGACTGTCTGTCTGTCTGTATGTATGTATGTTAGGTATGTGAAACTTGATAGCAGTGTCTAAATTTTCTTCCTGCAATTTCCTCAGACAGAGAGAAAGTGACAAGTAAAACAAACAAACAAACAAATCAAAACAAAATCCAACCTTATACAGCATTTCACATTAAATTAACATTATTCATAAAAATGCACTTCCAAACACTTCCCCATTATTTAAACCACTGCTCAAGAGGCATTCGCGTGAACCTCTTGAAATTATTACTGTACTCTTCTGCAAAGGATCAATTCATAAATATGACTTCAATACACTTGGGAGTATTAAAGAGTAATATCTGTATGCTGAACAGCTCAAAAATTCTGTCTTCAATCATTTCTATTGCGAGCTACGGAAGAAAACCTGCTGTATTTCAAATGAAGATGAAAATAAAGAAATCCAAGACTTTAAAAAACAAAAGTACATACAGTAAATACAACTGAATATACTGTATTATAGCTGTTATACAACAAAGAGTAAATTAAAATAGTTCATGAAAGAAACACAGTAACAGGTAAGTCATTCTTAATGATAAATTGGTAAGTTCTTTAAAGCAGTGGTCCTCATTATAGAATCAAAGTATGTCTGACCATATTAAAGTTGTGATTTCTTTACTGATGACATCCTCCCATATATTAGTAATGAACACAAAGAGTCTTTGAAAATAAACAATTATTATTTCAGGCTTAATATTTGAAAAATTATTCATGCAATTTGCTTCAAGTTTTGTCTAGAAAACTCCATTAATAAAGTTAAAATTTGTATTGTATTTTTTCAGCAAATGTCAAGGAAACTGTTACAGGCAGATTCAGTGTGTGTGCAGTTTTGCATGCACGTGCACTGACACCGACAATGGCATGTGTTCAACAGGATAATAGCAAGCAGTAACATGCACAGCTTAAGGAGTGAGAAGCAATTCTGGGCTGGACAGCAATTAGGCTACAGGCTGGATGACTGAGAAAATGGGATTTTATTCTCAGCAGGGCAGATTCTTTTCTCCAAAACATCCACATTTTTTCTAGGCTCATTCCCCAGAGGTTAAGTGGCCGGGGCATGAGGCTGACCACTCACCTCCATCTAGCGCCAAGGTATGCACAGAGCTATAGCTCCATTACCACGTCTTCATGATGTGCTGCTTACTTAAGCATATAGATGACTTTACCTTTAGAAGTTCTCTACAATTAATTCTGTTCAGCAGAATATTTGGTGATTATGTGATATTCTGTTCAATATTACATGGGTGGGCAAACATTGCAACAGATGGACTAAAAGACTGGTCATAAATGTTTATTCTTCCCATATGATGAATAGATGTTGACATCTTACAAGTACTGTTTGTTGCTTATGCTTTTTGGGGTTATTTGAATGTACAATACCTCATATTTTGTAAGATTTTAACCTGTAACACTCTCCCTGAGACAGGATCCAAAAGTAATTTTCAGAATACCGAGTTTGATACAGAACATCTTTTCAGATCTATTTCTCTGAACACCACACCCAATTTCACTTTATGTTAATGCTCTCAAAGTGCTGCACACTGTACAATTTTGGCCAATTATTTCATAAACGCTCTGAGTCTAAGAACAGACCTGAAAGAATCTCTTCAGCAGTCTGACAGAAACCACCAATTTTCTAGGGCACATAGCAGTCTTAATGTACATTTGAAACCAAACAAGATCACACCATATTTCATGTACTGTTCAGCACATGTTAGGTGTGACACCTTTTGGCTTTTGACAAACTTCTATTGTATATATAATGGCCCAATCTTTTCATATAACACTTATGGTGAAGAGGATGAGGAATTGTCTTAAACTAACCATGAATTTTTGAGAATGTGGTAACACTCAGCATCTGTGACAAAAGACCCTCTCAAATAAAAACTGATTTCCTGAGAGGCTAATACTTGTTATTAATGATGACAAATTGTGAACTTCCAGTGCTTCATACACACCATATTATCGTTCGCATCACAGTTACATTTTCATTTGCTTGTAAGTGGCTATGTTATGATCTGTTTATTGCCAGAGTGACTGTGTGTAGGTGATTTTATATAATGTTTTGGGCTGTGCCATAGCTCAGCTGGTTAGTCACTGGCTTTCCAGCGCCCACATCTGGTCATGTGGGATTTGTGGTGGACAAATTGGCGCTGGGGCAGGATTTCTCAGAGTACTTTGGTTTCCCCTGTCAATCTTCATTCCACCAACTGCTCCACAATCATCATCATCTATTATCTGGGCCTGGTACAATAGGGCAGTAGTGGCCGCAGTACCAAGTGGACTCAATCTATCCCCACTAAGAATAATAATAATAAAAAAAAATGTTTTAAACTTAAAAAGAAACTTTCAGGTTCATATTTGTATCCTAAATTTAAATTCTTTTATTATATGCTATAATTTAGCATTATTTGTGTTTCATTTTTATATACCTGTTCAATATCCTACACCTCAAATTGCCTTCCAAAACCTAACAGGTTTACAGCAAAAAGTACGCTTATATGACCACCATTGTTTGTGTGTGTTTTCCCCCCACTTCAGCTTCTGAACCAATTTACAGATTTTCCTAACAACTGGTATGAACATTATACCACTGGAGGCCACCACAATGACATATATTTTCATTTACTATGATCACTAATAGGGGCACGCGGTAGCGTAGTTGGTTGAGGTACCATGCTACAAGCCGGAAGGTCATAGGTTCAAGTCCTGATGAGATCATTGGATTTTCTCAATTGACCTAATCCTTGCAGCCGCACTATGGGCCTGGGGTCAACTCAGCCTCTAACTGAAATGAGTAAAGGAATATTCTTGGGAGTAAAGGGCAGCCGGTGCGTAAGGCTGACAACCTTGCCACCATCCATGAGCCGATTGTCTAGAAAATGTAGGAACCTCAACATCTCACAACCCTATGAGCCTTCACGGCCTGTTACAGGGATACCTTTACTTACTTACTTACTTTTATGATCACTAATACCAATATAGCAGATGTGCAAACTTGTCAAATTGGAAGAGCACACTTAATTTTGGGAACTGAAATTATGTATGGTAATAGATCTTGTTAAGGAAGTTTTTAGCAGAATGTAAAATAACATGGCAGCCGTGGAAAACACTCTTTTAGCTTTCAGTGTGATGACAGAAGCTAATGAACCACTGAAACCAGACATGTGAAAACTGGAACAAAAATAAATCATAATTGTACCTACTTATTATGTAGGAAACACTGCCTGCAAGTAAATAGTTACAAAGATGGTGATGATGATGCCAAACTTTGAGGTTATATACAGTCAACCTAAAGAACACAGGATTTGCAATAAGCTCTTCACAAACATAAAAATAAAATAACAATAATAATAGAGTACTAGATATGACTAGAAATCAATGCAAGAGGAAAGCACGTTTTTTAAGTTCTGCTTGGAACTTCTTGTTTGTTGTGAAATCAAAACTGCAACCAATATAAATTGATACTTGCCCTAATATTGCACATTTATGTAGTGCTGGACACACTACACTCCTTTGGAAACAGCATTAAAAGGCAATCTCACGGCATCATTCATCAGATTTGAATTTAAACACAGTGTGCTTACAAATACAATTTCTAGGTTATTAGAATTCAAGCTTCCAACAGGTAACCCCATTTCACTGAATGTGTATTTATGGCTTATTCCAACTGAATATTCAAGCAAAAATAAACATCTCAGTCCATTTATACTGTGTCTGGTTATTCATGACTAAACAGTCATTAACACCATCTTGTCGAACTCCAGAGTTCCTGCTTTTCTGATTACAATTATGCTTGGCTTCAATACTGATGTAAAGGTGTTAGTATATATCTATATCCTGGGCTAAAATGACTTTTGTACACTTTGTCGAACCTACTCTTTGATGATGTTTTTCCATGTAAGAAGCATGAACTGCCTGGTCCCCTGGAAAACTTTTTATGAGGGCTCAATTTTTCTTTACTAATAAATATTTTACTAATTTATTTCCAACAAGCATTGTAAAACCTAAGATAAATACTTCCTTACATCTGACTTTTATATGACGAGATTTTTCTGAAATGAGCCTAACAAGAAGTTTTATGGATCTGAAAGGATCCACACCAATAACATAAACAATAATATGAGATGCTGAATATAGTTAATGCAGGGGGTTTGGTCTGTAGTCCCTGTCTCCTATTAAGGACAGTAATCAAATTATAAAACATGAATGCTTTTGTATATAAACTCTAGCAACTATAGCCCTATGTACTGCCCTTCTGCCGTTATAAATGGATTGCAGAGATGAGAACTTAAAACTGAAAACTGAATGATCTGCTACCTAAAAGTTCTAACTCTAGCTGTATAAGTTCAGAGACTTTGGTTCAGCAACAAAACTAGATTCAGGCAGTTGTGAAAAATGGAATGTGGATGTGGCATAGACCTCAAGTTAAGTAATAACAGCAAAGAAGAGAATGGACTAACAGGATTAAGGGGAAGAAAGAAATGACCAAACAAATTTGACTAGCACACACAATCTTTCACTTTAAAAGTTCTCTTGTCATCCAATCGATGGAATGATATTATTTGTCCCTCCACACAAGGGAAGAGCAAAATACTCACAGCAGACACTATGCCATTAAAAATTCTGCAATACTCAAGATAAAAAAACACATTTATTTTATAACACTATGTATCACTGCTTGATCTATTACGGCACTAGTAAGTATACATGAGAGTCCAATACAATGAATGGGCTTAAGGCATCTTCTTTTATTCAAGAGTGGGACATGGGGTAAAGGAGTAGCTCTGCTTTCAAACCATTACCAATTACTATGTAAAGAACTGATATAAATGTTTTATACAAAGTTAAATTTTCTTGAAAATATCTTTTTCCATTAAAAGTAAACTGATGTCTTGCGGCATTTACTGAATAAAATGTAACAATCAATGCCTACAGACAATTTCACTCTACAACGTTCACCAACCTGCAGCAGCCACAGAGAACAGAAAGTGCTTGCCACGTAACAAAACAAGCTGATACACACAAATATACCTACAAATCCATCTTAATTTTCAGTAATTCCAAAATTCTTGTGTAATATCCAAGTACGTTGTTAAATGCCAAAGAGGATGACACACTAGATACATTCCAGAGCATGGGAAAGTGGGAAGATGATGGGACGTTCGAAAAATGTTTGTGTCTGTTCACTACTGCCAATTTTTACTATGTACACTTCTTTGTATAAGACAGTGTCACTCATTAAACACACGATTCCGTAATTTCCATCAATAAGTCATCCTTTCCTTCTGCAGGTTCAGGTCCTAAGTTACCAACCCTCCCTTCACTGGAAGGCAGTGTCTTCTCCAGAGTGTTACTTGTCTCAGCCTTGTGACCAGTACATGAAGGGGAATCCTATATAATGGGAAACACACACACTTAGTTCATACAATTGCACAGACACAAAATATTCATACAAAACATCTTGCTAATCTGGCAGCAAATCATTTTCCATAAGTATCTAGGAGATATGAGCTGCATTTACAGGACCCTAGTAACAAAATAAATATATAATTCAATCCATGCAAACATAATGAATATGCTACAAAAATAATAGACTTGAAAAGATTCTGACGATGGTGTATACTGTACTTCTTTTGGCTTGTTTTGGACTTCATCAATCGTCTGATATGTAAAAGACAAAAGACTACGATGTTTCGGAGACTGGATCTGTCTCCGTCTTCAGGTGGGTGGGGAAGGATAAACCTACTCAGTTGGGCCCGTTAGAAAGAGCTAGTCTCAATTATTTCCAGTGACAGGCTGACAGCCTGAGTAGATTTTACCAACTTCAGTTGCCATGAAAGCTTCACATCTGACAGCTTCTCAATAATTTACAATTTGAAGCAAAGTATGAGAAAAACAGCTTACAAAATGGGAACATGATCACTCAATGTTCTTCTACAGCTAATCAAAGATGATTTATTTCTTTCAATTTGTTCCTCTATTTGTTTTTCAAGAAATGAGGCTAAAGGATTAGAGGTGTAGATACTATAAGGTCCTTATGATGGCGTATAACACGCAATAACACTAACAATGGACAAAGTCCAAAAACCCAGTATCTCTGTGGGTTAGAGGTGTGCAGTACAGAGCCACAACACCAGCATAAGAACAGTCAATGACTTTACAGAAGATATGAAGTGAAACCAGGAAGACGTTTCAACAGAAATTTTCTTATCAGTCATGGTCACATAGCAAATTACGGGATGCACTTGAAAATCAATCTTCTGGTAGTTGCAACTTATGTTTCTGGGGAAATGAGCTCAAGCAATCACACCAATACTTGCCCATGTGTCTCCACATCTTCTAGGAGTGGCAAGAGGGGCTTCGTCATCTGAGTAATGGTCCAGCTCTGCAGCATCTGTTTCCGTACCAACAGATCGCTTGGTGGTGGGCTGAAGTGTAGCATAATTACGTCCTCCTCGCAGGAATGCGTCTGCGCCACTCCTCTCATCTACCGCGGATGTAGAGATACTGGTTGTAGTCGGGGTGCTGGTGGTTGTGGTATTGGCGATGAGAGTGAGAGATATAGTGGGAGAGGTGGTTACTGTTGAACCTAGAACCAATCACAGTAATTCAGAAACACAGAAGCAGAGACCAAACGGCATTCTAAAGAAATAAAATGCCCTGGTCTGCTTGGCATTGACTGGCACGAGCCTGGATAGATTAGAGAAATAGGTGGGTCAAATTCCTTGTACACAAAGGAACTATTTCTTTGCCACCACATTCAGAATGCTTCTGGGACTTATTCAGCCTATCCCATGGATAACAAAAGGCTCTTTTTTGGAGCATAAGCGGCTGGGGCATGGAGATTACCACTTGCCCCTATCTAACGCCAAGTTCTAGAACAGGTGGAGCTTCACCTTCCTGCTCTCTGTCTATCTTAATGGCACCACGCTTAGACATAAGATCAGATTTTATCTATAATGATTACTAAGATAATGAAACAACCATGATCACCACAACGCACATATTAAGACATAGGCCTGCTTTATACAAACTGACCTTTATTGCTAAGCTCCTCTTGAGATTTACTTGACCGAGTGAAAGCAGGCATGCGACACACCCAGTGTTCAAGACCACCTGAACCTGACGAGCTTGTAGAAGCAGCAGAACTGTAACTGGTACCAAGGCCACGTCGCTGATAGAACAAGATATAGGCTGCTGCTGTCACCAAGCTTGTGTCTGCTACAGGATCTACGCGTGTATCATCAAAACAATACCAGTGCGTGTCATATGGGTTGCGGCAGTAGGCTGTAAACCAAAGGTGAGTGTCTATATGAATGTAACAGGACATCTCTAGAACCTGCAATAAAATGCAACTGGTGACAATATAGAGAAATGTGGTTATCTTATACCAGGTTTGTAAACAAGAATTGTTTATGGGCAAATGTTTCAGTACTTAATTCATGAATTTGATATTAATATATGGTTAATGAAGAAGCATGCCCACATGTCAATTTATATGTCACAAAATAATAAATTTACTGCATTAACTTCTGTTTTGAAATTCCAAGAAACTCTAAGCATAATCACAGTTTTCATTCAGACCTCAATGTGGGTACCATTTACCACAAGAAACACTTCAGGTAATACTGACTTCCTATCTGCATTTACCTGAGCATATCCTGTGTTAACAGTTGCCAAGTCGGCACTACTCTTCTCACACAATGGTGACAACTCAAGAGTTTCTCTGAATATATCACCCCTCGCCTTTAATTTAATAAGCAAACAGAAAAAGAAAGAAAGGTGACTTTGTGGAGGCCACATAACTGGTCCACTTCCTCACATTTGCCTGCCACTTTTAAGAATTTCTCACCAAAATTTCATACACTTCTGTGCTTAAATGCAGTGGGGTGCCATTCCACTGGAAGGTAAATAACACGTCTATTTCATGTTCAATATCGAAAACTTGTGGATAGACGTACAGTTACGGTGAAATATATTGTGTAGCTGCTTGATATGTATAAATTGCACTTAGGCAAAAGTGGACATGAACATAGATTTTACGAAATTATACCTGTCAGCGCCACTAATTGGGACACCAATGAATCCAAAATAAAACATCTGAAAACATGATCATTCTTTTCTAATATGGGACAACCTGAGCACATTCTTTGAAACCTAAGTACCATTTATCTCAATACCTGTATAATGACCACCCTGGAGGTCCTGACCGTGATGATTGCAGATAGCATATAGGTCATACACATTATCGTCATAGCGCAGTGGTGTCCGACGTGGTCGCTTCCATGGAGACCAACCCAGACCGCCCAGAACTCCTCCACCACCAGGAGGTGAGCCCAACATGCCTGGAGGAGCCGCTGAGTTGCCTGAAGGAGATGGTCGGTTGGCTAGATGTGGGCTCATGTCAAAACCATACAGTGGGAAGTCCACTAGTGTTGTCAACTTGGCTGGAGCCCTCTGCTTTGAAGAATGCTGCTTTTCAAAACAGAAATATAAGTCCAAATATCCTGACTACAAGATGCATACAAATTATATTCATATACTTCCTGTATTGTTATTTGAAACAGAATGCGTCATTTTCATTTATACCTACATATATCCTTCAGTTCAAATCTCAATTAGTAATAGAGTGAAATGTAGTAGAAGAAGCAGCATAGAAGAAATGAATGGCTTTGTGTAATGCCTCAGCACTGCTTGGTTTAATGGATTTCAATTCAAGATTGATTCTCTTCACAGACATGACTACATAACCTTACTTTTCCAAATGAAATATATAGCTGACTTTACTAAATCAAGTGAAATTATATACAGGGAAAACATAGTACACATGACTGTGAAATGTATATAGTCTAAAAACATTTATCTGCATTAAGTCTCTAGAAAAATCAGTGAGGACAAAAGCATAAAATATTTTGCCAGAAAGGAAACTTTTTTTGATAAATGTCTAAGTCTTAGGTTAACAAATGATGGTATTTCATAGGGTTCTGACGATGTGTATAACATTCAGAATTACTGAGGTTTTAGACTTTGTCCATTGTCTGGTATTCTAAGAACTACAAAACACATTTTGGAAACTGAATCTGTTCCAGTGATTGAGGCTACCTCTTTCTAAGGGACCCAAGAGAGTAGGCGCCTCCTTCTCACCTGAGGACAAAAACAGATCCATTTTCCAAAATGTTGTGTTCCCTCGTTTCTGGAATACTGGACGATGGACAAAGTCCAAAAATCCAGTAATTCTGAGAGAAGATAATTATAGGTGGCGTGTGGTTAAGGGTTTTAAAGGAGGTAGTCATGGCTTATTTATTATTACTATCAGGAACCTCCTGAATAAAACATACTTGTTGAAGAATGAAGAACATTATGGGAACACTGGAGAATAACCATGGTAAAAGTAAAAGTAAAGCTATCCCTGTAACAGGCCATGAAGGCCCATAGGGTTGTGAGACGCTGAGGGTCCACATTATCTAGACAATCGGCTCAAAGATGGCGGTAAGGTTGTCAGCCCTATGCACTGGCTGCGCTTTACTCCCCATGAAAATTATTTAATTAATTCCTGGTACTCATTTCTGTTAGAGGCTGAGTCAACCCCAGGGCCTTAGTGCGGCTGGAAGGATTAGGTCAACTGAAAGAAATCCAATGACCTCATAGGGACTTGAACCCGTAACCTTCTGGCTTGTAGCATAGCCCCAAATAACCGTGATACAACATACAAATTTGCAGTGTAAATGCTTGTGCAGACTTACCTGTCTGAATCGTTTGAGATGAATGACCAGAATATCTGGTAATGACCACAGTCCTAGCTTCTTCACCACTTCCTGCTTGCGGTTACAATTTGGACAATGCCAGGCATCTTCTGCACCCAGCACCTCTGCTCTGGTATACAGCTGGAATGATAAACATTTGTGTGATCGATATAAACAAGTATTGACACCAGTACACCAAGCAACCGAAGGAGAGAGAACTACAGCTTCCTCAGGAATTTGTACCATTCTGGTTTGAATGCTAGCCTTTATGCCAAAGGTTCCTGGAGATTAAATGTGAGTATGAACAAGAACTCCTAATTGTAAGTAGAAAGATTTTACAAATGTGCTCTTCTATTTCTGCATACATCACTGACAATGATATTAATGTATTACAAACACAAACTCTGCGGTCTAGTGGTCAGAGTTCCTGGCTACAGAACCAGAGGTCCCAGGTTCGATTCCTGACGTTACCAGATTTTCTTAGAAGTAGTGGGTTCGGAACGGGGTTCACTCAGCCTCGTGAGGATAACTGAAGAGCTACTTAAATGGAAAAGTAGCAGCTCCGGTTTAGAAAACCGACATTAACGGTTGTGGGAATCCAATGCGCTGACTACATGACACCCTCTATCTGCTAAAGTTGGCACTAACTTCGCCAACAAGCGGCGGTCGCTTGGTTGGTTGGTACAGTTCGCTTGCAGACTAAAAGCCACAGAATTTAGTTTGGTTTTTTAGTTAGCCATTTCATGGACATTTGTGATTTTGTCTGCATTTTGAAAGGTTGAAGGACGCCAACTTCTTGGATCACCCTGATGATTCTCATGCCAACCTTTGCTTTATCAGCTGGAAAGTTTCAGTAGCTGTTTTGTCTGCCTTGAAACAAAACATCATTCTCACTATGAAATGTCACAATGATCTGCATGGTACAAAACCTTAAACTCAACTCAGCACGACTGATAGGAGAGAAGTGACTGACCTTCTACAGGGAACATGACGGAGGAGTCAGCTTACACAGAGAAGTTGAAAAATTATCCTACGTGCTTTCAAATAGGTTTAATTGACTCAGCTGCGAAGTTATTTGTCAAACCTTGTACAAAGACAATTTTTTTAAACACAAAAATACGGCTTAACATTTAAACACCAGACTTTTAAACAGTAGTATCCTGAGCTAGCCAGAGTTTATTTAAATGTCTGCTGCTGGTGCGGGGTTAAATGCCCATTCCTGTTAGGGTGCTTTACCTCTATTTGAAAATGCTGTATCTAATACAATTGTTATGATAAATGAATGGAATTAAATTTGTTTCTATCAGGAAAGAACACTGTGTCACATATTATAACATGAGATTTGAAAATATGTACACAAATAATTATAAACTATTTTTAATTCTTTTCTTGTAATTTTGATGCATCCTGTAGAAATAGTTTCCCACTTCTTCAGATAGTAGTTCTGCATTATAAAACCATTCCTGCTTGTAACACTTGAAATATTTTCACATTCTCTGGCACCATAAAACAGTTGGAAGCAATAAAGTCATTTGGTTCTCTGCTGGCAAGTTTCACATCTTTGTTACGCCTTCAGATATTCCAGTCTTTTGACTAAATGGCACAGAAATTATAACATGGCTAGTCTCAAGAAAGGTTAGAGGGAATAATCATTGTTCCTTACTTCAGTGCCAAGCCATTGCAGCTGAGATACAGAGTTCATTCAGTTTTCTGTGAGTTCAAAGTGATTTTGAATATTGTAGTTGCATTTTAACATTTAATGGCAGTGAAACATTGTTCAGATGATGATGAAACAGAAAGGCAATTGAAATACAAGATATGTGCTTTCTCGGGTGCTTCAAGGAGTATTACACAAAGGTGAGATTCGGATACATGACATGGGGGTTGAAACCTGTATATACGTCAAGCAGATAACAAAAAAAATGTATACTGAATTTTACTGTGTTTAAAAATAAATATTTAGGATTGTGCATAAGCTTCTACTAGTGGCAGGTGCACGAGCTTCCGCTAGTGGTGTTTAAGTGCCCGAATATACAAATCGGGGTTCTTTGGGTACGACAACCACACTCATCAGTGTACTGATCGGAGCACTTCGGACGTTAACAGTTAATAAATTCAACAACAATGATTGTATCTACACAGCTCACATATTGTGTTATTTGAAACCAGCTAGTCAACCAGTGACAATAAATAAAATTAAAATCAAAACAGAATTTTACATTAACATTTGAATCAGCACCATCACCTCAAAGCATTCCTCAAGGGTAACAGCACCACCTTGTTCAGCATTCATTTTCAGCTGTTTCACACTAGCGTGTTCCTCCATTTGGTCACTATCATCTGCAATGGTGCTGCAACAAGAAAATGAAATAGTCTCACCTCGTACATCATGGTATGTTAAAATTGAGCATTTTATGTGAATCTGAAATAGTGCAATATCAAAAATATTAATAGTCTCATTTTCAAGAAGTTTGAAACAATGCAAATCCTCAAAAAATTTGGCAAGAATCTCATATGCATTTCAAAATTTGTCTTGAATTATGTAAGGTCTTCAGGAATGCATCCTTCGCATAAAATGCAACCACACTGCATATTCTTTTGACAGATGTGAAACTTGGTCACTCTGAGAAAGGAAACAGATTAGGATCTGTGGTCTAGAGGTGAGAGTTCTTGGCTATGGATCCAGAGGTCCTGGATTCGATTCCGGGCGCTGCCAGATTTCCTGAGAAGTAGTAATGGAGTCCACTCAGCCTCATGAGGATAACTGAAGAGCTATTTCAAGGAAATAGCATCTCCGGTCTAGAAAACCGAGATTAACAGCTGTGGGGATCCGCTGCGCTGACCATGTGACACCCTCTATCCGCTAAATTTGGCAGTAACTTCATAAATAAGTGGCGGTCACTCGGTCGGTATGGTTCGCTTGGGGACTACAGGCCACAGGGTTAGGATCTTTCAAAATAAAGTGACAAGGAGAGCATATTAATCTAAAATAGCTAAAAAGCAAAGGATTGGAGACGGACAGAGACTATGAGGATTTGGATTAGCTGACAATAGGATCCAGTAAACATGCAGATAAACCTTTAGTCTCCGTTTTATTCAGATCGTCTGACAATTTAATTGCCTACAACCCATTTAAGGAATAAATGAAAAGTAGAATAAAATAATAAAGGGTTACAGATTGGTATATCAAACATAGGCTACATTGGTACAGACTGGACGAGGTTTTTGCAAAAATGGTGATGAGCACTTAGGTTCCATTAAGAGCACCTAATTCCTTGAAAGTCTTAATTAACTATCATCTATTTAAGGAAGACAATGTATCATGGAGTTAATCTGTTACTTATGTTTGGTAATGTAACCCTATTTATAGTTCGGAAATGTCTATATATGACATGGAGTTAGACTGTACATTGCTACACACATCCTTACATGTACATGCCTGGAAAAACAACACAAATTATATTACAAGACAGTGTGACTTGAAACTCTGTTGGATCTGGACAGATAATTCTATACTACTTCTACATTGTGTAAGACTTGAGGCTTTCACGGTGGTGACTATGAAGAAAGCAGTCTTCTGGGATTTGGCACCGTGTATATGTGGTGTTAACCGACTGCAGACTGCTTTTACCGGTTCTCACGGTCTCTTCGCTTGCGGATTTCTTATATTTTTCTTCTACCCTGAATATGGACGCGATACGTTCCTCCAAAACGTCGGTTAACACCACATATACACAGTGCCAAATCCCAGAAGACTGCTTTCTACTTCTACATTATTTACCAAAGCTTCGTGTTCTGCCACATACCTCTCCTTCCCCTGCAGGTCCCATTCTAAGACCAGTTTGAGGTGAGGGGGTCCAGCATCTTCTTCACAGAGAGCCAATGCCTGTTCCACAGCTTCCATGTATAACGGATGGTCAAGTGTTGGGTCAAGATATGTTGGCGATCCATCCCCCAGTCCATCTGCAATTCTCATGTAGAACAGCGGAATCTGAGGGCAAATACACAGTAACAACATTATTTTCATTACCTCCTTATTTATAATTGTTTAATGTTTAATTATTATTATTTATTCAAAATCTCTGTAAAATAATGAACTAGAAAGTAACAAGTTTTAAATTTTCGTACACTGCCAAAAGTAAAACGACAAGGTCTATCACAAGTGATTCTTCAGTTTAAACTGCATATATTAACTGAATTTTTTGATGCTGATTAAAAATGTTGTTGTTGATCTGCAGCACAGCCTTGCGAGAAATGCTGACACCAGCGAATCGGTAAATCATTGTTCGACAAGATGGTGTATATGTTAGAACAGCACGTGTTTATAATAATATTTTATTCTACTGGCAGTGTAGTTCAGGTTCAACAACTTCTATTTTTGTACGAATAAACACGACATTCAGAAAGCAGTTGTTAGTGCACATAACGTTTGTATGTTCACGCTACAGTTTAAGCTCCTTAGTTCTATGTAATTTATTTCAATTAAAACAAGTACTGTTATAAGTGAAACAGTCTGGTAAGCACAAACAGTGATTCTGTAATGTTAACACAACAGTTTTAAAGCAAAATTTATTAGAGACTTCTGTAGGTGTTCATGGTCGCCACCAGTCAATAATGTAACAGCAAAGAAAAGTTCCATCTTCTGGGATATAATGTTGTGTAGTTTGATGAAAGTCAACCGATGTTTATGAGAACATATCACCTCCATCTTTGGGGATGAAGAGTAAGTCAAGCAAGAAACCAGCATGAAGCAGGTTTCAAGGTCTGCACCCAGCAAGCAGAGCTGCTGTTTACTTCAGGTTCGTGTCTTGTTAGAATTACTCTTCAGCAGCCAAGATGCAGGCAATATATTCCTACAAAATGTCAGCTCACTTCCACTACACTACACAGTATTATGTTCCAGAAGAGAAAAGATCTTCATTGCCACAAGTATAAGAACCTCAAATCCAACATGTAATAGCAAGTTCTCTATTTTAAACTTTTAACATACAGCATTTAAACCTCACTTATGGGAACATTTTGTCTCATTTGCCAATTAAAGATCTACAGCTCTAAAGGTAAAGCTATCCTTCTAACAGGCTGTGGAGGCCCATAGGGTTGAGAGACATCGAGGCTCCCACATTTTCTAGACATTCAGCTCACAGATGGCGGTGAGGTTGTCAGCCTTATGCGCCGGCCACCCTTTACCCCCCAGGAACATTCCTGGTACTCATTTCTGTTAAGAGGATGAGTCAATCCCAGGGCCATAGAGCAGCCGGAAGGATTAGGTAAACTGAAAAAAAAAAATCCAATGACCCCATCAGGAATCGAACCCGCTACATTCCAGCTTGTAGCACAGTGCCTCAACCAACTACACTACCGCGTGCCCCAGTTCTACTACTGTATATTTACAGCGTCTAAATACTTTACTAAATAATTCACTTAACTAACTAGTCTAATTAAATTTCTGAACACATATGAAACATCATTAATAATCAAATACTGTCCTTCCCTTGTTCAGAACGCTTTCACAGCTGCTTAAGGTGATTCAACACAGATCTGAGATGCAAATCTGGAAGTGCCTAGTGACGCTGGCTCTTTCAAATACCAGAGTGTTTTAGGACGTTTTCTATTGCCACCACAGTTTTCAAGGTCTTTTTGGTCATGTGATATTTATTTCAGAAACATCATATGAATTTAAATATTTTATAATGAAAATAATTCTAAAGAAAGTGTGATGTATGTTTCAGGTACAGCAGAACTTAAGATCATGCTGTTAAAAAATAAAGTAATAATCAAATTATAAAACATTTTACGTACATCCTGTGAACTGACAAGAATGTCATCATGGAGCACAGCATTCATCTCCTTGAGTATCAGCTTCTGAAGGTCTTCGTAAGATGTCTCACGATCAACCTGCATAGTGTAGGGACTGCTGAACCTTGCACAGTGATCTTCAACCAGCAAGAGATTCACCCAGCACAGCAAAACATATGCCCCACCTCCATCATCTGTTGCCTCCTTTAGTTGTGGCAGCTCCAAACAGTATACAGGGTCTGTTTCTTTGATACTCAACACAGGCTCGGAATCTACACATGTAAAATGTTACTGACAAATCACTGTTCCACATGTATTTCGGAAGTCCATCTACCGTGCAGAATGTCACATTCTGAAAGGTCTGATTTTAACTCTTTAGAGCCCAGAGGTTCTACATGTACCATCTGCTTTAACATACTAAATCCTGCATTCTGTTCACAGAATGCATATGTGTGTTTTGTATGGGTTTGTATGTATGTGACAATTTCCCTAAAAACTATTAACTTGCTGGTCTCTGTAGTGCAGACAAAACGTGTTTCCTGTGAGGTATGAACTGAATTTTTATAAATTACTTAGAAGAAATTCAGTCTTTAAACAGTTAAGAAGAAAATGGGGAGGGAACTAATGGGAGCAGAGATCCCATGTTATTTTTCAATAAAAAAAGGAAAAAGAAAAATAAGAGAAATAATTGTACATCTGTGAAACTTAGAAAATAACAGTGTACACTGAATATATAAAAAAAATCTGTTTATCTATGTACACAAAATATAACTATAATCCAAAATATACACTAATACCAGTCAAAATCAGCATAATGCGTACAACTTATAAAAATACTTAAAGCATAGTATCCACACAAAACAGCAGCTCTTGTTAAATATTTCTGCTAAGGGTGACAACAATCAAAGGACACCCACAAAACAATTTTCACCTTCATGAATCTTCAATCTTACATCTTTCTAAATCATAAACCATCACTCTTCTAACATAACAGAGCTCTTGAAGCAGAGTTACTTTCTCAGAAGAAACGTGAGTCACATTTACATCACATTCTTCCATAAATGAAAAACGGAGTTATCAATGTTTACAACTATAATCCAGAAATACAGAACAAAACAAACAGGGCATATTATCATGCAGCATATTAGTGTTACTCTCTGTATCATAAGTTTAAAGCCCTTTATAATCAAACAAAATTTTAATGAACTATACCTGAAAATGTTCTGTGGAAGCCAAGATCATCCACCTCTGTAAGCAGCATGTGGGACTCCGCAATACCGGTGTCAGAAGCTAGTAGTTCTCTCAGCTCACGTACTTCTGAGTGTATTGGTAAAGAAAGCCCTAGTTTCACCTGGACAAAAGGAACACTGTTCTCTCAGAATCATAAAATTCACACAATGTTTAGTCTCAAAACAAAACAGTGTATTACCAATTCAGGCCTAGGCAATTGGGAGTGTTGTGGACATTTGGTAAATTATAGATTCTTGGACAGACACACAGAGATTCCAGAAATATTAATTGATTTACTTCCATCTTCCTATTCATATTTGTGGGAGAAATTAATAACAAAAAATCTGCCGACAGACACACAGCTATCAAAGCAACAAGGGATGCAAATGCATGGTAGCAAGAGACACTTGTTCCAATGCACCAATCTGCACAATGGTTCTTGGTATACAAATGGCCACAAATTTTGAAATACTAATGATTTAATACATATAAGTGTTTCCAGATGTATTCTAATTATTCCATCCTCTTCAGAATCTCTTCTGTTCATACAGAATTCACATGCACTGAAAACTCTGACACAAACTGACATTATAAGAACATTTAGTGAATAACAGTGATTGTCTGTTTTGCAGACAAATGCATCCCTTACATATTCAATTACTCCCATGTACAGCAACTTATTCTGATATGACACCTCACCAGGTACGGTAAAGTTGACCTTGTGCTTAATTACTTAAGCACTATGCCGTGAAGACATAACGGAGAAGTGGAGGTATAGTTCCACCATTCTTGACCTCGGCATTACATGGAGGTGAGTGGTCAGCTTCATGTCCTTGTCACTTTAACTCCCATCCTGGTAAGAACCCCTAGTAGCCATTGGATAAGAGTCTGGGGCCAGTTGCAAAATCTTGCACTGTAAGGAATCAAATCCAGGCAGTCCGGCCAACAGACCATACCTCATAGCTATAATGACTGAGCTATTCCAACTCACCTCTCCAAGCCAAATTTATTCTGTTTCAATTTCAAAAATATGGAATTGACTCTTGTATGTGATATTCTGAATGCTGAATTTATTCATGATCCATTTATCTGAACATATGACAAAAAACAAGGCCAATTTCTATTTTCTGTTTGTGAATTTAAAAATTGTTGGACTCTGTCCAGCACTGGACTGGAATGCGATTTCTGTGAGTGCTACACTGAGTAAAACAGAGAATCTTACAGGGCTGTAAAATCTACATCATCTCAATAGACCTAATAATGAAGACCAATCATATTCAAGAGCAAAAGAAGTACTTCTTGCGGCAGATCCTATTAAGGTATGATACAGCTCAACTGCTCATATGATGTTCCTTATACTACACATTTCAATAATAGCTTAAATGAAACGTACTTGTCGTGGTTGCTGTGAAGTATATAACACTGTAACATAGATGGCTCTCCTTTGATTTTGGGGGACAGGCACTGATACACAGAGGAAGGGGTCAAAAGTGTTGCTTTGGCGTTGGCAGCGTGGACACGTAAGCGATGATCGAAACTGAGCTTGGAACACAGCGTGTACAAAACTGTTGTTGCACCGCACATGGTTTGCGAGTGTTTCTGCTGCTACCACATCATCCGGTCGTCCAAATGAGTTCTGCAATGAAAAAATTAACACTTTGATATGGAAAAGACTACACCTGTTATGTACTGGTGTGTTACCTTGCACATTGTGGACATGTTTGTACCACTTTATATATATATTTGTATATACGTACATACATATACATGTACACGCACAAAATCCATGTATTTATCGTCTGTCAATATTGCAACACTTGTTTATTCACTACTTTTATTTTATTGCTAGTGGGGTGGGACTAAGTCCCTTGTACTGCGGCCACTTCTGGCCTATCGTACCAGCCTCAGATGATACGTGAGGGTGATTGTGGAGCAATTGGTGGAATGAATTGGCAGGGGAAACCGAAGTACTCGGAGAAAACCTGCCCCAGCGCCACTCTGTCCACCGCAAGTCCCACTTGACCAGACCCGGGATCAAACCTGTTGCGGCGCAGTGGGAAGCCAGCGAGCCGAGCTATGGCACGGCCTTATTCACTACTTAATCTTAATCTTAGTTTACTATTTTACACTTTGACACAACATGTTTCGGCCCCAAATGGCCATCTTCAGGTACCATGATATGTTACAAATATTTTATTAAATTATGTTAAAACTGCTACACTGTGTTAGTCAACATCACATGCTGTACTTCTCTTTTCAAGGTAAAACAAGATAAAATCCATTAAAATTTCTATTTCACCACACAAGGGGTGATTGTTCATAAATGTATATCTGTCCCAGGTGTTTTGTTTTGGCACCTGGGACAGATATACATTTATGAACAATGGATGTCACCCCATGTGAGGTGAATAGAAATGTTAACGGATTTTATCTTGTTTTAGCTTGAAAAGAGAAGTACAGCAGTGATTTTAACATGGACTAACACAGTGTAGCAGTTTTAACATAGTTAAATATAATATCTGTAACATATCAAGACACCTGAAGTTGGCCATTTGGGGCCAAAACATGTACTGTCAAAGTGTAAAATGTTAAACTAAGATTAAGATTAAGTAGTGAATAAACAAGTGTTGCAATACTGATGGATGATAAATACATGGACGTTAAGTTAAACAATTGCAACAGGATGCTGAAATATAGACACATACACAAAACTCTGTGAGAATTTGAAAGTAACTTTCAAAGTATTCAATCCTTGAAACCTCTACAAATCTCCCATTCATATCAAAGCGGCCACTGGGTGCCACCTAATTATCCCAGGAATTAGTTAAAAATGGTTTTTATAGTAAAATAAAACAAGTTGTGGTGTTTCCTGTTACATTGTTACTGTTTCTTCTACCATTTCTTTATCAACAGTTAAGACCACTGTAACAAGCATGGGTTATGTAGGTAAAAATATATATAATATATACATCAACTATCATTTTAATATTGCCATAAATATAAATGCTAACTGACTTTTGTATCTGATATATTAGCGTCAGTCAGTCATGTGATAAAATCATATCATACAGTTTAAGTGCCTCCACCACTCCAGGTCACTTTCAGGGAACTTCTCCTTCACAACTTTACTTTAGGGCTGAAGTTATGGCACTGATATTCAAAGATCACAGAATGAGGCTTTACAATTCTTGAAAAATAAATCAAATTATATTCAGGAGGACCATTAATGGTCAAGATATTGAATGAACTCGAAGAATAAAATCCTGCATTGATGACACAAGCCCTGCCCAGATCTTAAGACGAGACTGAGTTTTACTGGATGGAGCCTTGAAATTATAAACTGAGCAATCACATGGGGCTGTAAGACAAAGACCGGCAAGTCGGAAGCCTAGGATGGTAGGCTCTTACATCTAGATTTGAGGAGTCTCGACATGAACACAGTGTAGAGGCTTAAGAAAGACTCAAGCTGGAAGGTCGCAGGGTAGAATCCCGATGATGTCATTGGATTTTTCAATTTACCTAATCCCTCCACCTTCCCTGGTGTCGACTCAGCCATGAGTACCAGAAAATCTTCCTGGGGGCTAAAGGGCAGCCGGCGCATAAGGCTTACAACCTTACCGCCATCTATGAGCCGACTGTATACAAAATGTGGGCGCTTCGACGTCTCACAACCCTATGGGCCTCCCAGGCCTGTTACAGGGATAGATTTACCTTTTACCTATTAAGTGAGTTAATTAATAATAATAATAACCTGTGGGCGCTACAGTCCATGACGAACCTTGACCTCCGTTTTATAGCATCTTAATTATACTGATCACAGTGGCCGCGCGGTCTAAGGCATGAAATGTCTTCGCCGCTTGAACACTGGGATCGTGCGTTCGAATCCCACCCAAGGCATGGATGTATGTGTTTATTCTGCGTTTGTGATAGGTGGCGGCCTTGCGACGGGTTGATTCCCCATCCAACAAGTCCTACCGACTGTTTTCGATTAAGAAACTTAAGTGAAACAACGCTTTTCATGGATGTCCTATGCTCCAAATTGGAGCTGCACAAGAGGAAAAGGGGGAAGAAGAATAATACAGTCGGTAGGACTCCTTGAGTGGGCGTCATCCCGCCGCAAGGCCCTTACATACACAAGAAAACACAAACACAGACAAACATCCATGTCTCGAATTGGATTTGGACCGGCGAAGACAGTTCATGCCTTAGAGCCGAGCAGCAACTTGAGTTATTGTAATTAACATGAATACTGCGAGTCTGCGGCTGAGTGGATTTGGTTAAGTAACTATAAGACCTAAGTCATTCCGCTGCCACGTACCAGTACAGTTATACTCGAGTACACGCGGAAACAGGTTTTCCGCCATAAAACACAAACTCAAATATTCCTCTACTGTAGTTGAGAACACGTGACGCAAGTAGTCAGCTGTTTAGTCACGCCACCGGTGACGATAAGTAAGCTACGCGGGGGAATACAGTCATTTCATACGCGTATGTTCCATTGTCTTTTGTTCAAAAAGCATTTCCTCTTGCCAGGAGTATATAGACATGCAGCATTTGAGGTTCCCACTGCGGTGGTTATGAAGAGCAATATCTTCTGGCTTATAACACCATGTAGTCCGCTGAAAGCCAACAAACCGGCTTGCCACCTGCTTTCACGATAGTATCTTGCTCGGGTTATTCGACCCTGAAGATGGAAGCGATATGTTCCTCAGTAAAGTCTGTTGACTTTCAACGGACTACACGAAGTTACATCCCAGAAGACAATGCTCTTCAGTAAGAAGATAGATAGTAATAGATGTACAATAAATAATTTAATGTCAATCATTTGTGAGGTTCTATCCCAGTGCTCTCTCATATTATGCGTACAACGGTACGCGCATCTTAGCAAATGCTCGAGCAATCGTGGAGAAACTACGGCCTAATTCTTGTCTGCAGCGTAACCACTCGCTTAGCGTGCAAACACCATTCAGAAAACATGAGTATCAAAATAATTCTTTACTTTCTAGCGCGTTTTACACGCGAGACAGCTGCCTTGACTGATTCTTGTTTGAAGAACATGAATGACAACAGTAAAACAGGAAAGTAATACGCAACGATGCGTATACAATTATTTGAAATAAGTCGTAATATTCCATTATTTTCCTACAAATATTCACAGGTAAAGGTAAAGCTGAGAACATAAAGTTCATGGAGGTAGGCCTAGGCCCACTGGGGCTGTAGTGCCATGGAAAATAAAAAGGTAAAGCTGTCCCTGTGCTTAACTAATTAAGCACTACACCATGAAGGCGTATGGGGGAGTGGATGTATAGATCAACATTTTATTGACCTCGGCATTAGCTAGATGTGAGTAGTCAGCTTCACGCCCCTGCCGCTTTACCCCCGGGGAAAGAACCCCCGGTAGCCATCGGATAGGAGGCTGGGCGGGCCCCAGAGCCGGTCCAGACGATATGGAGAAAATTTTGACCCTACCAGGACTCGAACTCCGACCTCTCAGCCGTCCAACCCGTAGGCAGTCGCTATACCGTCTGCGCTACTCTGGATCACACAAGGAGAAGCACGAAAACAACCGGAATAGCGGTAACCCGACCGAGATTAGAACACGATACCCCCTTTCCGCTACCACTAAATCAATCTACTCGGGTTTTTTTTTATTGCTAGTGGGGTGGGACTAAGTCCCTTGTACTGCGGCCACTTCTGGCCTATTGTACCAGCCCCAGATGATAGGTGAGGGCGATTGTGGAGCAATTGATGGAATGAAGATTGGCAGGGGAAACCGAAGTACTCGGAGAAA